TCGGGATACTCGGTGTCTAGTTTTGTTATCTATCTTCTATTTCAGAATAATTCAGTCTGGATTTACTTTATCTACTGCTAGCCCTGGTTAGCTTAATCCAAACAGACGATGCATTTATGTGGGTACATACATACGTACGTATGTATGTACGTATGCATGCATGTATGCATGTACCTAGGTATGTAATGTCACAAAATGCCTAAGGCATCGATATCTTTTTATTTGGATCCTCCTTTACCAAGTTATTACAGTCAGTTAGCCGAGCCTCCATAGCCCGATGAAAGGAGAGCCCCCCAAAACAGATGTGACTTCAAACTGACAGATAGGGACCTAACAGTTCAAGGTCGCCACGAGGAAGAGCTACACTTTAGGGTTTAGGGGTATTTAGGGTTAGGGTTTAGGGATGTTTAGGGGTTTTTGGAGTCTAAGAGTATTGTGTCGCGCGCCATAGCGGCTCCAGCCCCAAACGCCAGGTTTGAACGCAGAGCTGGCCTGCTTGATTGGCATGGCACCAAGTCCGGTTTAGTTCTTATCGATGAGGGCGCAGCTTCGGCAGCGGGTCACTTTGTGGCAGCACTTGGTGTTGGACCATGGCTCTTGGTAGGTCCCTGTGCATCATGCGGCCGTGCCACGAGAAGGAGGCACATACTGTGCTGCTCTTTGGTTCTCGACTCGATTTAGTGAGCAGGTAGTGGACGAGCTTCGAACAACCCCCCGAATGGACTACGACTATGCGCAGGCACTGCAAAGAAAGCACTGCAAAGTGCTGCATAGAGTCACACACCCTAGAGTCGCAGGCACCCAAATGGCTCGCCAAGAACAAGGCACGAGTCACGAGGGGCTTTGCTCACGGCGGGCGCGCTGTACCTGCAACCAGGTGGCCATGCCGAATGCTGTCGTTCTCAGCGCCAGGGGGCAGCCAACGTAAACCGTAAAGGTGCCCCACAATTCCATGCCGCCCCTGCCGATGTGAGAGGGATCAGTGGGAGGCCTCGAGGTCGAATTGTGTGCCCGGGCCGGCTCAAGCGTCAGCTTCCGGTCGTGGCGAGTAGCGGAGTCAGACGCGATTCTAGAAGCTCCGTCCCCCTCGGGGCATCAGCATCACTCAAAGAAGAACCTCACTTCTCCTGGACCCTGAGAAACACCCAAGAAGCAAGCTGATTTACAGCCAGCGCTTAGCTCCGCTCCCCTGCCCTCCCCTCTGCCCTCCCCTGCGCTGGTGCCCCGGATGTTCGTGTGTGTGCGTGCGCGCGCGCTGCGGGGTCGCTACTGAGGTCCTCTGACCGGACCCATGCAAAGCCAAACCTATGCACAGGCCGAGCACGAAGGGCGTTTCAAGAGTGGGCCGCAGTGGCAGTGACGGGGCCAGTGGGTTGTTTCTAGTTCGCCTTGAAGGGCACGCTGATCTGGATCAAGCACGAGGAGGAGGCGCGCTGAGCCCCGACTCTGACGCTCTGCTCTGCGGTAACACCGGCGAGGTCTGGATCCAGGCGGAGATCGTCACGGCCAACGAGAAGGAGATCATCGCCACTCTCAGAAAGCTGGCTGAGAGAAATTCTCTTCCTTCCTCGTGCAAGTCTGCTTGAGGTGAAGACGGCAGAAGACCCGAATAGCAGGATCGTCTTGGGGCCTCACGAGCCCATCTTCCTGAGGTGGGAGCTCTGAAACACCGGCAAGAGCACCGCAAGAGCGAACCGCGCCCAGGACTTCAGATGTCTTCACTTCCGAGGGTTTGTCCGTGCTGGACGACCTGTGCTGCAGACGAGCTTGAACTGTTGGGCTTCATAGCTCTGAAGAGGTCTGCCGGAGTCCGCAGTCCGCAGGTGTCAGCTGACGCACCTGCACGAGCCGGCAGTGCCCTTCTCAGAGACTTAGGTGAAGCGCTGAAGCCCTCTGTCTGGATTCGCAGGTACTCAGCTCCCTGCAAAATCGCTTCGACATCGATAAGATCTACACCTTCACGGGCCCCATCCTCATCGCGCCCGGGGCCCCAAGACCGCAGCACGGGCCGTGATCGATGCCTTGAGAGAGAAACGAAGGCTGAATCCCTTCAAGGGCATTCCCGGTCTCTACGATGAGGAGGCAAAGTTGCAACTCGCCCTGCGCTGCGGGCGCACACGCCGTGTACGCCGTGAGGTCCTGAAAAGCTTCATGACCACGAAGCCCTCCAGCAAGCCGTCCGACTCCCGCACAAAGAGTGTGCTGCACCGGAGCTGCGAGCTGGCGGTTTCTAGGCACGTCTTCAACACCTCCAACGCCACTTACCGCGGCATCTGCGATCGTCGGAAGAGCCAGTCACGGCCCCAGCCGCCGAGCCCGAGCCACCCGAGCGCTGCGGCCCCCGCGAGGACGGTGCTGATCAGCGGGGAGTCTGGGGCTGGAAAGACGGAGACCACGAAGTTCGTCATGAGCCTCGGCAGTGGGGGAAACGCCGCCGCGCGATTCAGAGGGGATCAGAGGGCGCGCTGCTCTCAGGAAGTTCCTGGCCATGGCCGGGGCCGCGGACGGCGAAGTCACCAGCGCCGCTCGGCCGCGAGACCAGCGAGGCGGTTCTGCGATGCGGCAGGCGCTTTTTTGCGCCTGCGCCTCCTTTCCCCCTCCCCCCCCGGCCACTTCAAGAGCCTGAGGTGGAGAAGCAAGTCTTGGAGTCGAACCCCTTGCTCGAAGCCTTTGGCAACGCCCGTACCTTGAGGCTTTCTGGTGCTGCTGTGCTGCTCACGAAGAGTCTTCTCTCTAGGGGAACTGCATGTGCCAGGAATGACAACTCCAGTCGCTTTGGAAAGTTGCAGCCTTCGGTCATCGTGTTGTCCTTGTCCCGGCCCGGCCTCCCCTATGCTTTTTCCACCAGGTTCATCGAGTTGCAGTTTCGAAGCTCTGGCCAAGTGTGGAGCCCATTCGATGCGCTAGAACCCGCTAGAAGCTCCGAGCTGCCGCAGCTGAGGATGCATCAGCTCTGGGCGTGGCCGGCGAGAACTGTCGCCTCTGTGGCGCCCGGATCCAGACTTATCTCCTGGAGAAGGACGGTTTTCTGAGGGCTCTCTTCTCTTCTTCCGACTTCGTTTGACTTGCAGGTGCGTGTCTGTGACCAACAAGAGGGGGAAAGAAATTATCACCTCTTCTACGAGGTGGATCCGGCATTGTGGCATCACGGCCTAACCGTTTTGACCTTCGCGTTTTGGGCATGTCAGAAGAATTGAGCTGTGCATCTTCCTTGCCCTGCGACGATTTTTTTTAGAGGTGATTCTCCGAAACGGTTCCTGTGTTTACTGTGTGGTTTCGCCTCCTTCTTGCTCAAGCAAGCACACCATGCAACTGCTGTCAATCGATTTTGCTGAGCACTTTTTTGACCTGACTGCGCACACCTATGGTGGCTTTTCAAGAATCTTAAACTTGTTTCCTTTGCAGAAGTGTGAGATTCGCCTGGGCTCAACCGACGCATTGCCGCCAGCTCTGTCCTCTGAAGCACGCCGACCCGAACACAGAAGCTGTCGTCGCCATCGTCGTACTACCACTACTACTATAGGGGCCTAAATAATTACCAATACTATTGTGGGGTTTCTTGTTATACGGTCAGTATAGTATAACCCCAAACCTATTGAAACTACTGAGGCGCCTGTATCAGTTGTTTGCAATAGTAGCACTGTTGGGACTGGCACTCTTGTGCGCAATTCCAGCCCTCATTAAGCCATGGCGGTTGCTTGGACCGGCCCCCTCATGAAGCAATGGTTGTTGATGACATTGTTGGAGCCCGCTTCCTCATCAAACGCCGCAGTTTATCACACCATTGCTTAAACCGGCCACTTCAACAGGCGACGGCGATTGATCACATTTCTTTAAAACCGGGAACTCAGTAGTAGGTGATGCCGGTTGCTCGCAGTTCTTAAATCCGCCCCTTCATTCGGCCATGGCCGTTAATCGCAAACCGGCCCCGCTTTTGGCGAAAGTGGTTGATATCACATCTTAAACCTGCCCCCCTCGTTAGGCGATGGTGGCTGAGCCCCTGTAGTTGGCGATATCGATCGATTAAAGTCTTGTCATCCCTCCTCCTCATGATATGACGGTTCGTCACATGTTTGAATCGCTGCCCCTCACTAGGCCGTGGTCATGGTTGTTGATCCAATTTCTTAAGCCTTTTTCTCACGTGCGTGATTGTTTGCTGTCGTGGTCGTCGTCGTCGTCGTCGGTCGCGGTCGTATCGCTCGTCTGTTGTTTGTGTTTTTTTTTTGTCGTGGGTGTGTGTCGTCGTCCTCGGTGTGTGAGCAATGTTCGAGCTGTTGTTGCTCAATGATCCGATTCAAGGTTCGGATGAACTTGTTGCGAAACCGCCGGGTCTGTTCCCCGAAACTGTGATACGAAACTAAACCCCGGGCACGCGATCCGAAACTAGAATCCCGAAGCTGTGGGCACCAAGCGCCAGGTTGTGAGAATAGCCAGATTTGACCAGGCCTGCGCAGCGGCTTCTTTGGCTGCTGCCGATGGCTATGCGCAACTCGGCACTGTACTAGACGAAAAGTGTGGTTGGACTCCCCTGCGAAAAAAAGAGGTTGCATTTGGTGGGAGGGACCCGCCGTAAACTCCATAATTTCAGGGAATGTGTCGAAACGCTTTGGGGCTTTGCTGGAACAAAGCTTTCGGGCTGGTGGGAAGGCACATGCCAAAGAGCTTTGTTCAGAGTCGCTTGACGCTTGACTATCCAACAGAATCAAAACAAAGATCCCGGGATCCTGCCACCACCTGCCACCTGCCGCGGAATGAAGAGGTTCCCGCAGAGGCTGGCCAAAGAGAAGGTGAAGGAGGTGACTTTGAACCTCGAGGCCCGCAAAAACGGAGAGCGAATAATTAGCTTCTTTCAGGATGCCTGTTGAGAGGGCTTTGCGGATCTGGCGAACTTCGCTTACCTGACACGATCTTCCTGCAAGACCTTGCGACTGCGCCCAGAGAAAGCCACAGGGGCCGAGTTTATGGGGATTCTTGGGGTGGCGGCCCCACGTGATTCAGGAAGGACGTGGACGACGTGGAGATGTTTGAGCGGCGGATCCACGCCAAGAGCTCGGGATTCTTTCGGAGAGCCCCCCCGGATGCTCCCAGAGAGCACACACCTCTCTGCTCTGCTCTCTCTCTCTCTCTCTCTCTTTCTGCTTCTGTTATGTTTTATTTCTTTCCGAGGCCATGCAGACGATCGGGATCCCGCACGAGGAGGTGGCGCAGATCCTGCGGATGGTCGCCTCGGCCCCCTGGCCGCGATTCGGAGCAGGGCACCAGCAGGGGCAGGGGAGGAGGGAGAGCCCTTAAGTAAGGGCTCAGCTAAGCTCACAGCTAAGCTCACAGCTAAGCTCAGCTCTAAGCTCAGGTGCTCCACTTGGGCAACGTGAAGTTTGATGCTCCCTCGAACAACAGCGAAGGCGCCCGAAGCAAGACAGACAATGTCAGATTGAAGAGCTTTCCCCTCTGCCCCGGAGTTGGAGACGGAACAGCTCTGGATTTGCGGTCGAAGCTCTGGGGTTTGCGCTTCTTCCTGGTACCCGTCTCGCGTCGTTTCCGTTGCCGCGCCGTCTCGCCCTCATCTGCGCCTTGGTTTCTGCCACAAAGCCTTCCCAAGTCAATTGGAGAAGGCGGTGCACATCGAAAGAAGATGGCGGAGTGGACAGTGTCGCGAAGGGCGGGGCTGTCGCGAAGGGCGGGGCTCCTCCCGTTTTGGTCCTTGGCCTCTGCCTGGGTCACTGCGTGAAGCGCTTCTCCCCGTGTGTGTGTGTGTTTATGCTGGTGTATGCTTGCTCCACGTGCCATGCTGCTGCCGTTGCTGCAGCTGTGTATCTTTGACCTTCAAGGACTTCCGTGATGTGCTTTGCAAAGGTATCAGTGTGTAACGTCAAAAGGCCGAGCCCATCAGAGAGACCTCTAAGAAAGAGAGAGCGAGAGCAAGCAAAGCAAGCTTACCAGCCGTGTGCCTGGTGTTTTGGCGAGGATCCATGGCCATGGCGGAGTGCGACCGCTCGGTGGCGCCTCGGCGAGTAGTAGCCGGTAGCCCCCCCTTTGCGGCCCAACGGCTCGCACCTCGAAAAGCGCACGCCAGCCCAGGAAATGGCGAGCAAGCTTCTGGGAGTGGATCGGAAAGCCTTGGAGTAAGGGGCCTGGCCACGCGTTTTCTGCATGTGAGGGAGAGTGAGAATGAGGTGGATAAAGTGAGGACGGAGGGGAGAAGTTCTGTTGCTTGCAAGCCACCGAGCAAGCACGCTCGTGGAGCATTTGTTTGCTTGCCTCGAGTCGCGACAGTAGCATCAGCAGCATAATAATTGTTCCCGTGCTGCAGCACAGTCGGCACTTGGGCGCCTTGCTAGCACTGAAGAGACCTCTAGTCTCTTATGGTTATTAGACTTCTCCCGGCAGCTTAGCGCGGCCACGAGTCGAGTCGAAAAGAGTTTCCGCTTTTCCCTCTACGAGCGCAAGTCCGAGCACAGCAGTCGCGCGAGAGCGCGTTTTTGGGCCGTCTCAGTCGCGTCTGGGTACTACGCTCAGAATGCGTTTCCCCCCTCTAGCAAGTTCTCAGCACACGGAAGAAATCCGCGGGTAAGCAGTCTCCCCCCCCAACAGAAATCTATATGAGGTCGGCGCTCTGCAGTCAGACGCGGGTCACTCGCAGTGAGAAGATCCGGAGCCCGGTGAACGTGCGCCCGGAGCCTTGGAGAGCCGGAGCGGCCGGTGGGAGCGATCGGGAGCTTTGGCTGCCCCTTGCGCCAGGCCAAGCCGCGGACAACCGGGACGCGCTGGCGAAGGCGGTCTACGGCATCGTCTTCAACTTCATCGTGTCGGGAGCGCTAAGGGAGAGCGGAGCTGGGGTGGGGGAGTGAAATGTCTTCTTCTTGGGCCGAGGCAGAGCACCAACATGTCCATCGGCTATGTTGAGGCAGGGGCATCGAAGGGCCTAATTTACCGCTTTGAACTACAAGCGATCCGCGGAACTCACCTCGGCGATTTCTCACAGGACGTGAAGCTGTTCGCAGGCGTCCTGGACATCTTTGGCCTCAGGCTCAGGGGAACAAAAAGGCGGCGCGGCTAAGTGAGACCAAGCCCCCACTGAGGCTTCGAATGCTTCAAGATGAACTCCTTCGAACAGCTTGGACCCCGGGAAAAGCATAGCAATGAAGGCGATGCGGCGATTCTTTTGCACCTTTCCTGGAAAGGCTTTGCATTAACTTCACCAACGAGCGGCTGCAGCAGTTCTTTAACTCCTTCGTCTTCAAGCTGGAGGAACAGAGTCACCCTGAGTCTGTGTGTGTGTGGGCGCAAAGCGCGAATCAGCCCAAACAACCTCTGCAGGAGCAGCTCTACGAACGAGAGGGCATCGAATGGGACCCACTCGACTTCCCTGACAACCAGGAGTGAAAGAGTAGAGTCAAAAAGGGTGGGCTGTTTCATTCTCAGCGTGTCTCAGGATGCCGTGGACATGCTTCAGGCAAAGGCGCAGCGTTGGAAAGTCCCGGAGATTTCCAGTTCGGCCGCTTTCTTTTTTCCATCCACGCAGCAGGGCACCGGGGTCTTTGCGATCCTGGACGAAGAGTGTGCCGGAGGGCTCGGAGCGGAGCGGCCGAGCGCAGAGAAGGGGAGAGGAGAGACAGCGCCTCGCCTAGCCGGGCCTAGCCGCCTCTCAGGTGGTTCCCCAGGGCTCAGACCAGGGCTTCAACAACAAGCTGATCAAGCAACATCGAGGCCTTGGTGGGGCAAGGTGGCGCCCTGAAATCCTCTTGCGCTTCGCGGCCTCTTTGGTGAGGTCACAGGCGCTTCGACGAGATCAAGACCAAGCCATCCTGGCACCTCGACCGCACTGGGAGAGTGCGCTCTGCTTTCTGCTCTGCTTCTGCTCTTTTTCTGTGAGGTTCGTGATCAAGCACTTTGCCGGCCCTGTGAGCTACTGCAGGGCCCCCTGGCCCACTTTTTCTCTCCTTTCTCTGCAGAGTTCTGGGCTTTGCGAAGGCTCCGACGGTTTCCTTGACAAGAACAAAGATCAGCTGAGCAACGACGGGATCTGAGATTGTCTTCTGCTAGGAGCAGCCTGTATTCTCGTCTGCCTCAGGACCTCATTGAGTGCATGGGGGCGAGCACCAATGAGTTCATCGTCAGGCTTTTCAGACAGGACCACTACCACTCCTTCTAAGTTAGGGGCGTTGAAACATGCAACATAGCAAGCTCCCAAGGAGGCCAAGACTAAGAGAAAACTCGGCCAATTCATTGGTTAGGTCGCCCACTCCTGAGCGAAGTGAAGACGCGGCCCCCCCCTCCCCCCATTGTTTGCTTTAGGGCAATGCAAGCATGTACTCACATCAATGACAACCACTCACATATGTGTTCCGTCACATTTAAAATTTGGCTTCAAGTGGTGTTACTTGATACTCGCTCTCTCAGCGAGTACAAAACAGCTTTGCTGCAGCGCGTGCAAGGGACAAGTCATTAGGTTCTGAAGGAGCCATACTGTACCTGTATCGGGGATATTGGGTCAGTTTTCTGGTAGCGGAGCCCGTATTGGGCTCGTCCCCTCTCACGACAGCCGCCAAAGCGGTTGGCTCCGGCCGATCGCTTCTCAAGGCGGGCATCGAGGTTGCACCATGTCTGCACACAGTGATGACAGCTCCGGAGGCTACTCAGAGGACGAAACCTTTCAAGGTCCAACATCTTTTGCCGCAAGCCATGCATGCGGTATCTCGAGCGACAAAATGTTCAGCCACCTAGGCATCACGCCGAAAATCGCACCTGCTTATGATGGCACCACTTCGTGGTTTGAGTATCTACAGCTCATCGGTGACTGGTGCGACATTACAATGTTGGATGAAGCGAAAAGAGGACCGTCTCGCAAGACGAGGCTTTCCGGTCTAGCGACAATGCAAAAGGAAGTACTAGACCGAGACAGACTTTGCTGTGCCCAGGGTTATACATGAGGGGCAATCTTCACCAGGCAGAATCTCCTTCACCTCCTTTGACATTTAAGAAGAACCCATGAAAAGCTCAAGGACCCGGCGGAACTATATAAGTTTCATGTGTTTTGCACCACCATATGAACCTTGACTCAACCTGTTCAAGCGCAGGACTGCAGCTTTGCAGATTCCAAAAAAAAGTCCTATGAGCTCCATGATCAACTTGTAAAGAAGTGCTCCATTTGTCAAGAGCACAAACGAGCTCCTTCCAAGGCCAAGATTTCAGGACTCCAGTCTGACGTCTTCTGCGATCTCACCTTCGCTGATCATGGATAGTTGCTAACTCCTGGCAAGTCAGCTAAACTGATGTTCCTCATTTTGTACGAGGGAGCAACCAACTTGGTCACTGCTGAAGTTGTTTAGGATAAAGAAGAGCCCGCGACAATGTCATTCATGACAGAATACTTTGAGAAGCACCAGATTACTCCAAAGGTAGTCGTGGCAGACCAAGCCTTTATGACCCCACACATGCTTTCTTTTTAGCAGGCAGAATTAAACCTGTAGCAACAGGACCTGGCACTCCATGGCCGAGAGAGCTGAAGCTGCCGTACGATTGTTGAAACATCAGCTTAGGATTATGCTTCAGATTATGAACGAGGGCCATGATCCTTTTAACGGAATTGTCTTGAAGTACGGCAATCTTTTTCGTCAAGCTTGCTTGGCAAGAAGCCCTTCCATTACCTATGGAGGAGTAACACCGCTTGAGCTTGCGTTCGGTAGGAGACCAAGAGACATTTTTCACACCTGAGGACTCTGAACCAAACCAGCTTACTGGTAATCCTACAGACGCAGAGGTTTGCTATTCGCGAACTTGCCAACAAGGCTTATCAAGAAGCCAGGTAATCGGATAATCTTCGCAGGGATCTCGCAGCACATCTCATCATGTCAGAAGGACCCGTCTTTCTTGGTGAAAAGGCATACTACTGGTCTGTAGACACTTCCAAAATTGGTTCCACAGGCTCTCGACAGGGAGCCTGGGTGAAAGGAAAGGTTGTCTCAGAGCTAGGTGGTTCCACGGTAGGAGTACATCTTGGAACACGTATAATGCGTGTTAACATTTCGGAACTACGAAGGAACTACGATGTCACCTCAGATGTGGAGATTCCCTTATATCTTTTCCCGAGGAGTCAATGACATCAGAAGGATCTGGCCATGCAAGCTGTGCGGTGACATTCGACGCGGTACAAAGGTGCAGTGGATTACTTGCTCCTCATCATGATTGTCACTGCCAAGTGACATCTACAGGAAAGATTGATTTCCTGGCACACTATAGCGGTTCTTCTAGACCCAGTCTCAAGGCCGCACTTTTAGGTCTGAGAGTCGGCCAGCCTGTTGACTTGCGCAATGGCCTTGGCCTTCAATCAAGAACCGACAGTCATTGTCATGTCACCAGATCAGGCACAGTGGTCTAATTGGAACTCCCAATGGAGAGGCAGTACACACAATGGCCTATCTGTCCTCATTTTCTGAGAGTCTGTCGTGGATCACCAAAGGAGATCTTTTCGCTTCTTCGTTTTGATCCTACAGCAAACTTTGGGCTTCCCAAGAAGCCAACCAAGGGTCTCTTGCGAAGTATGCAATCTGCAGGCCGTATGATCCACCACCGCAGGTGCTACTGCCAATCCGAAGGAACTTCAAGACCACAAAAGAATAAGAGCACTCTCCCAAAAGTGACTCAGGTGTTCACGGCTACGGATTACAAGCAAAACTGTCACAGGTTTATCCGTATGAGTTCTGTGAGGTATGCGCAGCTTGCCTCTCAAGGTTCCTCGACAGAGACTCGCATGCGCCACACCTTTCTCTTGTGACCGACTTGCTTCAGTATTCCGGAGACTCATGTCTCATAGGTATTTCAGATCTTGTTGATAAGGAATATTCCTACCTTTCAGAGAATCTTAATAACAGATAAGGTCTCTGGTCACAAGAGTAAACTCTCTGCCTAACAAGACAGAACTCCTGATGCATCATTCCAAACCTTCGCCATCCATGGATGCATTGACAAAAGACGTGACGTATCTCGGAGCCCATATCCTTCCAGGTACTGCCTTACCGCTTCCTCCCAGTCCTCCTCCTCAGGGTCCCGCTTCCGAGGTACCCGTGCCAGCTGATGCGCCCGTTGCTCCTGCTCGGGCCAAGCCTCGCCTGCGTCCACCTCCTCCACTGCCGTCTCCTGGGTGTTTGGGGCATCAGAACAAAAGGTTTCACCGCACAAGCAAAGATCACCTTTGCAGGTGCCTGCTCCTGGTCCGAAACCCAAGGCAACACCAAAGGCCACAAGGCCTGTGCTACCGCTAGCACAAGAGGAAGAAGAAGGAGAGTCGTCTTCCGACGAACTCAGCCCTCACGATCCTGGTCAGCCGTCGCAGCTTCCTGACACTTCCGGTTCTCCGGAGCTTGAGAGTGATTCTGAACCTGATGATACCCGTTACTATTCTGATGAGTTGACGAAAACGATCCTCCTATAACGGAGGAGCTAAAGTTGTGTTTTGCAACACCGGATCCCGACAAGACCCGATACCGTCCCACTCGCCGGGACAGATCAGATATCCGCGAAGATTATGACCTCTTAACAGAGGATTATAAGGCTCTTTCCTTATGCCCTTCCAAGGGTACTGCGAACCTTTCACAAAAGGCCCAGAGGAAGGAAGCTACGGCAAAGGCGAACATAGAACTGAAGAAGCAGTTCGACGAAGGCAAGGCTGCATGAGTACCAGAGTTGGGTCGACGACGAAGTGCTCGAACTTGTCGACACAAGGAAACTCGGTAATATCGCGAATTATGTTGCCGGTCGTTGGGTTCGTACTCTCAAAAGAGGTAAGGATGGTAGCTTCCCGAAGTGTAAGGCCCGTTGCGTCTTGCGAGGTTTCCAAGACCGACGAAACGACATTCAGCAGACAGGCAGCCCCGCTGCTAGTCGTACGGGTTTTCGCCTTGCCGTTCACCTGGCAGTGAACAAACTCTGGGATCTGACACTGACACACATTGACCTAAAGACAGCTTTCCTTCAAGGAAAGGAGACGCGTATGATGAGTCAAGAGACATTATTTGTCAGATACCTCCAGGAACCGGACATCCTCCTTACATGGCACCACGGAGATGGTTGAACATCGTTGACAATTTTTGCTGTCTTATGGCCTTGTCCTTACGCATGCCGATCGATGCACCTATGTTCTCTATGGTAAGAAGTCCGCAACCGCAGATGCTGAACTAAGGAAAACGGAACCCCAAAACATGGAATCTGCCATTGATTATCTACTCGATCCCATTGCTGGCAATAATGCCAAGGGTAGAGTCGTTCATGGCGTTGTGTGCCTTCATGTAGATGATGTCTGCATGGCCGGTGACGATGTGTTTCGCAAAACAGTCGCCGACTCTATCAAGAAAGACTTTGCAGTAGGTTCTGTTGACACCAATGATATCATGTTTGTTGGACAAAGACTTGTGTGGAAAGATGCAACAGCATCGACTCCCGCTCACATCTCTGTAAACCAAGACTTTGCTGTTGAGGCAGTTGAAGAAACTACTTTTTACAAGAAGCTCAAAAATGAGCAGTCTTGTATTCCCCAGCAGCACACTGCTTACAGGAGTGTTCTTGGTCAGATCAACTGGCCTCAAAGCTGAACTCAGGCTCATATATGCTACCGGTGTAGCAGGTGTGCAAGTAAGGCCGCCAAACCCACTATTGGCGATATCCGAGAACTTAACAAACTTGTTCGTGTTCTCAAGGTAGCAGAACTTCGGTTCTGGCCTCTACAAAGAAAACTTCGCATTCTAGATTATCCGGATGCTTCTTACAAGAATATTGGCTGCGACCCCCTTACTTGATAATGCGGCCTCTTAATTCGAGGAAAAGGGCTGCGGGGCCCCCGCCCCACTATGACAGAGCACGGATTGGCTCGCTCTTCAATGGTACCTGTTAGCAGCTACTGAGCTGGCTTATTTGCGCTGAGCATTCAGGCTGTGATCATGCGCTGCTGTTACGATACGTGCTCTCTCGGGCCGTTATAGGTGGTCGGCCTATGTAGGTTATGTCCTTGCTGCTACGTTCTTCTCGCTGATGCTCTGCTGAATGAAGTCGGCTATGATTCTGCAACTTCCGCGTCGATCGCCAAGTATTCAACAAGATCTCTCGTACGTGGATCTATTTGCCAACGACGACATCCACCCGATATTTCAGCCAGCTCTCCTTTGGTTACCGGGGCTTTTTTGCTGCTGGAGATGATGCCTCCAGATAGGCGGGCCGGGAAGCCGTCACTTCTCCCAGGACACACTCAAGGCAAGCTGCACTTACATTAAGCCTGAGATCATTTCGAAACAGCATTGGTATGACAACAGGACTGACGGTACGTGTGGTGAGCGGCTACCAAAATCATCATGCACGGGGTTGACCTGAGTGAGTGACTTACGCCGCACGCCAAGTTTTCTTAGGATGTAGGATGTCTCATTGGGGCGTGTCTCCCTGAAGGCCCACAGATGACACTTTGCCCGGCCGAATGCCAGCCTAACATTTCTTTGATCTGAAAAGTTCCGCTTCATTTTGAGATGGGTTCTTCGTTTTCCGTAGTATCTCCTTTTGCCTGTTACAGTAGCACCCTAAGCTGCCATCCGCCTCCTTTTTTGGCTGGCGCTGACGGCTCCCAAGACACGGAGCTTGCGCATTCCAAAAACTAGCCGGTGGCTAGACAACACAAGCCGAGAGCAGAAACAAAAGAGAAGATCTACAGCCGCCGGATACGCACGACCAAAAGTTCACTGCAAGATGCCGTAAACGTATCGTCGTCGCCGTCTTCGTTGTAGTTTTTGTCGTAGCTGCCGTCGCTGCGGCCGCCGCAGCGCAGGCCGCCGTGGGCTGCCGTAGTCGCCGACGTGTCCCGCATGTAAATATTTGCCCCGGGTTCGGCTGAATCGTGGTTTCTTCATTTTCTTCTTTTCAGCCAGACGCTTCAAAGCTTCGCCCATGATCGTGCCGAACGTTTGAATCTTCGAAGGACGTAAAATATGGCGAAGTTCTGAACAAGGCAGGCCTGCACTAGCGCTGAGCCGTTGCTGCGTTCCATGAGATGCGCACAGCATCGTTCTCGAAGGAGGAGTCTTCAGAGACCGGTACCGGAAAGAAAAAGAAGAAGTACACGGTCTGCTGCTTAAGTTTTGCGCTGGGGGAGAGATATGTGACTTCAGCATGATCCAGGATGCCATGTTCCTGAATTGTTGTCTGATGGCTGAAGGTTTCATCGGAATTCAAGGCCCGTTCGTGCAAGCATGGCATGACAGCGCGGCAGACGCACGTTTGGAGGATCAACTGGCTTCACTTATGGACATCGTTGATCTGACAGAGCCCCACTTCGTGCGCCAGGGGCCCAGCCTCGTCGGGCACCAGCCTAAGCGCATGTGCAACATTCAACTTCACCTTCATCCCGTCATGTGTCGTCCTCCTTACCCAAGGCTGCATCAAACCCAATCCGCAGAACGAGCCGGGGGGCCTTGACGATCCTTCACGGATGCGGTGATGCGGTGGACGCCTGCTTTCTGCGCCAGTGCGATGCGAGGCCGGACCGCTATGATCGAAAGGCCGTCACGGAGCAGTTGAGATACGGGGGTGTGCTCCAGGCGGTATCCTTCCACAACATGTTTCAACCAGAGAATGGTTAAAGGCCATTGAGTTTTGGTTTGAGGTGGTGCAAGTCAGCCGAGCTGGCTATCCGGTGCGGATCAACCACCAAGAGTGTACAGATCCCCAGATCTTCGAGCTCCGTCCTTGGCCCGGGCCCACGTTTTTGCCTGAGGTTGGGACGACTTCAAGGTCATCGCCTCTCCGCAGATTGTCTCAGGCGACGGCGGCTTCCTGTCCCCTATAAGCTTTGGCAGACTTTGCAATGACTTGGCATCTGTTGCCATCTTTCTGCCGCTTGCAGGGCTGAAGCACGTGGACGACTCCAAGGCCACGGGCCCGCCTTCCCCGCACGGAGAGAAAGCAGAGGGTTGCACCAGGGGAACACCCGGGCACCCGAAAGCCCGAGCCTCGCGCCTCACGGAAACCCTTTGTTTCGCCGTCACGCACCCTGCCCGGGTGTGGGGAGCTCTGCAAAGAACACGGAAACCAGCGAACAACTAGCCGCGCACATCCGTGCCATGATGCTCGGGCTGGATGTCGAAGATTTCGGCTACCATGATGAAACAAGAACCGTGAGCTTAAGTAGTGATACATGCCATCTGTGCATTTCCAGCTCTGTTGCATGATTTGCTATCTGTCGTCATTATTAGCACGCTCGGCACGGGTACAAAGGTGCAAGAAACAAAGAGGACGCTTATCTCAGTGGAACCGGGCGAGAAGGGGGGCCCTTCAAGGTCCATTCCATCGTTGCCTGGACGAAGAACAGTAAGAGAAGCGAAGTCAGATTGCCTTTCACAAGCGCATTCGCTGAAGACATGGCAGCCAGTGTGCAGCATCCGAAGCTGTGGGAGGTCAGGGCGCAGAAGCTGCTGGAGCACTTGGCCTCAGAGCTCAACCTGCCGAAACCCCTGCATGGCCTGCCCATGGCGGTGGGAAAGACGCTAGTCTTCTTCAAGCTCCCAGCCTTCGAGCGGCTGAAGCCAGAAACTCAGACATCGCCAGCTCCAGAAGAAGAGGTCCGGGCCGGCGGAAGCCAAAGCAAGGTTTGCACGCCTCGAGCTACTCGTCAAGTCTGCGACACAGATCCAGGCCGTGCATGCTAGGGGAGCTGAAGCGGAGAGCGGAAGAGTTCCTCTCTGAAGTGCAGGCTGCTTGGCATCGCCGTGTTCAGATGGGCAAGTACAAGGTTCGCTAAACACAGCGACGGCTTGTTAGCACCACAATGCACCACATGTTGGGCACTCTCTTGCCAAGGCAATCTGTCTCTTCACGCGCCACATTCAGGCGTTGTTGCGCAACTTGCTGGAGATGCAGAGTCGAGTTGCGGAGAATTGGCAGTCCATGCTAGTTGCAGCTCAGGAAGCAAGCAAGCGCGAAGCGATCTTATGCGCCGGAAGCTGCCGGCTCAGTTTTGGTGGCTGCTCTCTGCGCTGAGAAACGCAAGAAACTCTGCAACGCGTAGCCACCACAGAAGGCTCCAGCGGGCCAGCACATGAGAGTAAGCACCCGTCCCCGTGGTGCTTTAGTCGCTGTCATGGTGGGGCGTGGCGCGGGCTTCTCCCAACACAAGCTGCGGAATCTGCGGTGTGTGATGAGGGGGTCAAGCACCAACCGTGGTCACATCGACCCGGCTTG